AGTGAATCCGTGCTCTGTGCACATGCACGTGGGTACTCCACTCCTCGAATCCTCTCAAAGAGCTTGTTCCAGCCCAGCCCCGCCCACACATGGCACAATCAGCAGGAGCAGGCACGGAGAAGACATAGCCAAGGGCACAGGTATCACAGAGGCCCTTCGAAACTAATCTTAGAACCACATGCTGCGTTGACCAAGCTGTTTCCTCTTCAAAGACACCAGGCCTGACGCTGCTGGGCTGCCATCTAATTAGTTTGCTGACGTTGCCGGTCTCAGCCCACACTTGGAAAGGCTGGACATCTAAGATCAAGATTCTCTTCATCCTAAGATCCTGGTCCTCGTTTTGGCTTAGATGCTTAAGTGTCCCAGCCATAAGGAAGTGACGGCAGAAGAAATGGAAAGGATTTTCCTAATGATGTCCATTCTTAGCAACATTAAAGCCAGAAAGCCTTGGTCTCTTTAACAACTAAAAGTCTGTGACCCAGAACTTCCTCCAACAAGTGTCACCCTGCGCTGGCCCCTTGTCCTGCACGGTTCTTAGGTTTGACTTCTCTCTGTGACGGTCCTCCAGTTCCTTCCCAAATGCCTGCTCCCGAGGGAAAAGATTGTCTCTCACACACGCACACTGCAACTGTATTGAATTTGGGGTTTCAGACATCCTAGGCAGGAAGCCCATACTAGACTTACATCCTGAACCCCAGAACTAAGGTTCTTCCTCTACAGCACTGGCAGTCCACTCAACCCCAACGCCCGAAAATGCTAAATGAAGGAATGTAAGAATCAGCAGATAAAGTTGACTAAAACTACCTGGTGGGGAATGTTCAGAGTGAGGAAAGTACTGTAGATGATATCGCAGTGCTGGGGAGATGCGGTGCATTGGCTCAGACCTACAGAGTGTTCAATGCCAAGAGCCAGCCCCAGTGTAGACAGAGACTTGGAAGACTTAGAGGTGCCCACGTGGTTCTACTGAAATAAGCAGACTGGCCTAGAAGAAGACTGCTCCCATGGGGAAGTGAGGCACCGTCCAGGAGAGGCCATATGGGAAACTCACACCTAAAACTGCCCTTGAAACAAAATGTCTTTTTAAAACAATGTTAAAGCTAACAAGTTTCCAGTGGGCCCAGAACAAAAGGATTAGCAGAAAGAGAGACAGTGGGCTGATAACAGCTGTGGTTCCTCACACAGGAAACAGACCCTGCGTCAGCAGAAAAGAAAGCCACCTGTGCCACAGGCCCAGCGAACTCCAGAAGTTTCCATGTCAAAATTCAGTCAAGGGGCTGGGGATTTAGCTCAGTGGGAGAGCCCTTGCCTAGCAAACACAAGGCCTTGGGTTCGGTCCTCAGCTCTGAAAATAATAATAATGATAATGATAATAATAATAATAATTCAGTCAAGGTGTTCAGGTGGCCTTTGGAAGCTGGAAAGATATGGAAATAGATTCACCGACTCCAGAAAGATTTCAGCCTGTTGACAATTTGATTTTAAGACTCTGATTGTGGGTTTTAAGACACTAAGTTTGCAGCACATTTTTACGTAAACACTAAGACGCTAGCTACTGTGCTGCTGACCTCGGGCGCTACACGGCTATGCCTCTCCCGGAAGACCCCGCTCAGCAGCCCTCTGCCCAGCGGGTCTAGCGGGCTGTTCTCTTGCCGCAGCAGCAAACTTAGACAAAGAGAAACCTGGGGAAGGAAAGAGTTCATTTGACTTATACTTCTGTGTCCCAGTCTGTCACTGAGGGAAGCCAGGGTAGGAACTCAAGCAGGATCCTGGAGGTGGGAGCTGACGCCGAGCCCGAGGAAGAATGCCGTTTGCTGCCTCGCTCTCAGGCTCACGTCCAGCTACCTTCCTGGTGTAGCCCAGGCCACCTGTCTACGGATGCCACCACCCACCCACAGTGAGCTGAGCCTTCTTACATCAATTAGCCATCAAGATAATGCCCACGGACAAGCCCACAGACCGATCTGATGGAGGAACTCTTCAGCTGAGCTTCCCTCTTCCCAGGTGTCAAGTCGGCAGGCAAGAACAGCCTACCTCCTGCCTCCTCGTGTCTTTGGCATTCTGAGTGTCTTTTCAGCATTTGTTTAAAACTGTGGTCCAGGGTTGGAAAGATTTCTCAGTGGTTAAGAGAACTTCCTGCTCTTACAGAGGACTCCAGTTCAGTTTCCAGCATCCATGTCAGTCAGCTTCCTATAACTCCAACTCTGGGTATCCGATGCCTATACCTGCTTCTGGTCTCTGGGGTTACCCACACATTCAATAGCATACACACTCACTCACACACACACACACACACACACACACACACAAATATATAATAAACAAATAATCATTACAATAAAATAAAATTGGAATCCACTTCTACTCTGTCCTCTTTCCTATTCTCCTGGTATTCAGCTTGCCTGACATACCTACTTGTTTCTATTCCCATCTCCAGTAAAATGTACACTTCATTACAGCCAGAGCTTGCCTATTTTACCTAACTCACCAAACCCACATCTAGTGCAACAAAGACCTGCCAAGTGGATGATCACTCCTCCAGCCGTTCCCTGTACCACGACATTGATGTTTCTCCTAGGCAGGACTCACAGCCACAGCCCCACGACATGAGTGGGATCTAAAAGCAGAGCACAGGAAAGTGTGCTGACTCAGCTGCCCACTGAGGCTCTCCACACAAGTCCCTCAAGGGAACTCTCCAGCATACCAGGTGAACAGGGCTGATTTCTTCCCAAGGTCACAGTTTACTGAGGACAGGAGGAGGGGAGTATTGCCAGTGAGAGCAAACCAGTGTCATCCCAAGAGTGACAAGGAGGCTTCAGGCCACCACCCTCTCTCTGAAAATGTGGAGCATCAAAAGCAGCAGGCGTTCAGGAGTGTGCACTTGGGCCGTGTTTGTCTGTGTGTGTGTGTGTGTGTGTGTGTGTGTGTGTGTGTGTGTGTGTGTGTACAGGGTGGTGTGTATGCTTATATACCTTATATACCTGTGTGTTCAAGTGCATATGTACGTGTGTGCACACATATGTGGAAGTCAGAGATAAACCGATCAACCTTAGGTGTCATTCTTCAGGATCCATCCACCTTGTTGTTGGTGGTGGTGGTGGTTTTTTTTTTCTTTGTTTGTTTGGTTTTTCTTTTTTCCACTTATAAGAGTTTATTGGAAATACAGGGATAGAGAGTGTGCAAGGCCTGTGGGAGAGACACGTGCGTGGAGAGAAGAGAGAGGAGAGAGGAGAGAAGAGAGCATCCACCTTGTTTTGAGACAGGCTCTCTTCCCTGGAATCTGGAGCTCATCTATTAGGCTAGGCTGGCTGGCCAGTGAGTCCCAGGGATCCTTCTGGCTCCTCTTCCCCAGTGCTGGGATTGCAAGCATGCAACACCATGTTCAGCTTTTCACATGGTGCCTGACTCAGGTCCTCAGGCTTGCACAACAAGCTCTGTACAGACTGGGCTGTCTTCTCACAGATACCGTATTGTTAACAACAATAATAACAAATCCACTATCACCCACCAATAGGGACAAAGAGGTCACAAGTTTGGAAAAATGAAAAACTCTGCAAAACTCTTAGACTTCTGCTCAGAGTCAGCCTCAGGTCCTGCTCTTTTCCCAAGCAGCACGGAGCAACTAGCAAGAGTCAGAGCAGGGCAGAGGCCACAGGCAAAGGGATTGGTCAGGGGCACCAAGAAAGGGCGTGTCCAACTTCTTGCTCCCCAAAGACCAACTCATGGAGAGCTGAGGCCCCGTGGCATTGGCTTCCCAGGAGAAGTGTAATCACTCACCATGGGTCTCCTGGGAAAGGTGGTTTCTAAGACATCTCCACCTGAGGGCCTGGTGTCCCTGAGGAGGGAGCAAAGGAAGCCTTTTGAAAGCCATGTGACGGGCGGGACTTCCTTTGTTTGCGGTAGAGCTAGTCAATAAACAAATACTCGAAAAGACGCGGCGAGGTGTAAAAACAGATTTGCACAGGCCAGACAACTGCACATTCCGTTTATTTACCTCTTCCAACAAACCGATACCTGGGGTGACATTTATTAATAAACAGCGTTACCAGGTGCCTGATACGTGGCTCACAGAAATTAATTACCCAGCCCATGGTAAAACCCTAACAAGCCCGCAGTGCTGTAACATTTGTGCTAATTGAAAATGAGATAAGTGCTGTGGGTACAATTTGCATTCAATGCAGTATATTAATTATCTTTAGTTCTCTTCATGATAAATACACCTGACTGAATCACTCTCCTAATTTACCGGGTAATAGAGTCATAAGTAGATTCCCTTGGGCCCAAGGGAAGACACTGGGTTGTAGGCAAGATGGATGTCTTGGCTCTTCCGAGTCCCTCCACCAAGTTAGCTCAGGTTCCCTTCCCTCACAGTGTCCCTAGGAAAGTGGAGATGGGACCCTGTCATGTCGCTGAGCTCCCAGCCTTCAGCAGAATCCTTCCTTTCCTACCATGTCAATTGTTCTAGCTGCTCAGAGGACATTACGTGAAGAGGGCTGTATCTCAGCCCAGCAATGACTCCAGTGTTCGATAAGCATGATGACGTCTTCAAGGAAAGGCCTTTTGCTGGCCATTGCCCCTCAATGCTCCACACTGGCTCAGTGGGAAGGGAACCGAAGCCTGCAGGATGGGGGGGGGGTCTAGATTTTTAAATCCTGGGGATTCCCAACAAATCCACACCTGAAGAGAGGGGGCTCCAATGGCAGCTCCATTATGAGATATAGACCAAGGGCCCTGAGGGCCACCTGGAAGGAAAGGCCGGGCTTTCAAGATAGAAGGAAGGAGACCTGCAGTCACCATGACTGGGAATTCGCCAGCCATGCGGTGCCTGGGGAACCTATGTGTTTGTCTTCCCTTCAGCTTCCTGGCAGTGCGTTCTCCTTGATTTCACACACCACGCAGCACCCACACAGTCGAGAAGAGGTGGTGCTAGGAAGAACCACCAGGGCAGCCACTGGGAACTCAGTTTGCTGTGGCCATTGACCTGCGCCTACGGCCTCACTCACCTCCTGCACAGGAACTCTCTTCTCAGCTGACTTCCTCACTCATTCGGTCTTAGCTTCCATGGCTGTGATGAAACACCGTGACCAAAAGCAACTGGAGAGGAAAGAGTTTATTTCTCTTATGTGGTGATATTTTGTTTGTGCTCTAACAAATAAAGCTTGCCTGGAGATCAGAATGTGGAGCTAGCCACTGGTTAACCATGGAGGCCAGGCAGTGGTGGCATGCCTTTGATCTCAGCACTGGGGATCTTATGCTTTTGATCCCAGTACCTGGGAGGCACATGCTTTTAATCCCAACACTAGGGAGGAGGAAGCAGGAAGTGACATGGCTGGGCAGAGAGAGGAAGTGATAAGGTGAGGTGGAGACAGGAGATCAGCCCTTTCAGTCTGAGGATTTCGGATTTCTAGAGGTAAGAAGTCTTTCTAGTGGCTGGCTGCTCCGCTTCTCTGATCTTTTAGCTTTCATCTCGATAGCTGACTCCGGGTTTTTATTAAGACCAATTAGAATTTACACTACACACTCTTCCACATCATAGTTCATCACCAAAGGAAGTCAGGACAGGAACTCAAACAGGGCAGGATCCTGGAGGCAGGAGCTGATGCAGAGGCCATGAGGGGTGGCTTGTTCCTCATGGCTTGCTCAGCCTGCTTTCTTATAGAGCCCAGGATACCACCAGCCCAGGGATGGCCCCACCCACAATGAGCTGCGCGCCGCATCAATCAATACTTAAGAAAATGCCTTATAGACTTGTGTCCAACCAGATCTTATGCAGGCATTTTCTCAGTTGAGGTGCCCTCCTCTCAGATGACTTTAGCTTGTGTCAAGTTGACATAAACGATCGAGCACACCCTCCTTCCCCAGCTCACACAAGGCCACATCATCCCCATGCTTGCTTCAGGCCTGACATTGGTCCCAGCCCACAGCCCACTCTCTTGACTGTGTACTCAAGATGCATCTGTGGCTCTTCCTTAGTTCGCATCCAGCCTGTGAGTGCAAGGCCTTGCCTGTCCCCTCCGCCCAGCCATGCTCCTGGGACAGAGTCCCACCCTCAGTATTTGTTGAATTGTTATGGAGTGTGGCCCCTGGGAGAAGACCACAGACTCAATTCAGCCATAATTACAGGATTTATTGATTAGCTGCTAGCTGGACGGCAGCCGTAAAGCCCGATCTCAGGCGTGTTGTGAAGAGCGGTGTGCAGAAGGGCTTTTAAAGGGAAAAACCACAAAAACCGCTCTGTTCTGCCAAGTTAAGTGGTTGAGGCAACTCAAAACAATCTTTTAGTATATGTGTAAGCAAGTTACAAAAGCTGAAAAGGCAGTCATATCATAACAAGTGGATAGTTGTGGCTGTACATGGAGCGGGGGAGTCACTGAGTCACAGTTACTGGGAATTTACCTTCCAGGGACTGGAGTCAGAGACAAACGATAAAGGGCTACTGAGTACCAAGAGAGATGCCCAGCATAAAATGGAGTTTCTTTAACCATCACGGCATGAATACAAACTTACTATAATCCTGCAAAGTAGGCAAACCAAAACACAAGCAATCAAAAACTCAAGCAGGGCATAGACCATGTTCTCAAATGAGTAAGCTCTACAGGGTCCCCAACTCCACTCAAAACATCCATGAAATCCCGTTCACCTGCTAGAGGAAGATCCAGCCTGCTTCTACACCTTCCAGTAGCCCAAGGGTAAATCACTGCAGGATAAACAGACTGGAAGGGGGAAGCAGCAACTTCTGATGCTGAGAGGAATTTCTCCTGAACACAAAGACACCCCTGTGTGTTGAACTGCAGGATTCCCATGAGGAAGTGGCTCCTAGCCGATGGGTACTCCATGGGCATCAGAAAGAGCTCCTTTCTCAAGCTTGTGCAGCCCCATGGCACTGGTGCAGGATGGGCCTCCAGCTTCAATAAGCCCCTAAGGCAAGGGCCCCAGGACCTGTACAAGAGCCTTGGGGTGGCCCTACTCGGGGAGTGTCAACTTGGGATTGTTCCCTTCCACAAGCCTTCCTGGTAAAGTGAACCCCAGTAAAAAAATCACCTATGGAGACCCACAGGATGTTGTACATACTCTCAGATCTAAATCTCCTGGAGCATACCATCAGTCACTTCCACCCACATCAGATGCCACATAGCCACTGCCACCAACTGCAGATGCCATTAATTTCCATATAACAAATGATGGTGATGCCCGTTCTCTCCTGAAGGAGAAGGTGCTGGGAGCATGGCCAGGCTTGAATCTCAGACCCACCCCCACCACCTCTACCCCACGACAGTCAGCCCTGCCTCCTGCCCCAAAGGAGGCACCAGAACCTAGGGATTAAGTATTCAAAGAGTGCAGGGCACAGTTCACACTTACACCAAGACTCCTTCCTAAATAAGTGTTGCTCAAGCTAGTAACAAATAGACTTATCTCCCCAAATCATACCAGTGGACAAACTCGCCATCGTGAGTCTGATAAAAAAAAAAAAAAAAAAAAAAAAAACCATCCAACTTGCCCAGCCTTAATGCATGGGAAGGTGCTTAGTCTTACTGCAACTTGATGTGGCATGTTTTGTTGATACTCATGGGAGGCCTGCCCTTTCCTGGATGGAGGTGGAAGAGGAAGGGGGTTGGGGGGGAGGAGGGGAAGAGGAACTGGGAGGGGAGGACTGGGGGACGGGCTGTGGCTAAGATGTAAAATAAATAGATGAATTTTTTAAAAAGCCCATCTGAAATTAAACTTTTATCAAAAAGACACATGATGCTACAAGGGGTAAAATGAAGACTTATTATTGTTGAAAATTATCGTCATTATATTCTTTGAAAAACAAACAGAAAATCAAGTTTTTCCCAGGCAGCTCAGCATTTTATCACATCATTTAAAATCATTGTGATTGAAAATATAGAATAGCATAAGGGCTCTCTGACTCTGCTAAGGCTCCTGGCTGAATCGCTGGACTCAAACAGCAATTATGCAGCATACATTCTAAGATCCATACTTGTTCTTCACCTCGCAATGGTGATGGGAGAGGCTGAGCGGGGAGGCCCCCCCATGGCTGTTCCATCCAACTCTTGACTAAATTTGAGTATCACTCAGAACTGAGGTTTTTAAAAACCCTTTCCATTCCTCAGTACCCATTTCAAGCTATTCAAAATAAAAATGACTGAGCTGAAGGTCATATTATTCGACTCTCCTCATTTGGAGCAATCCATATGGCATAAGCAGCAGACCCTGGGCCTGCATCCCACACCCCCATCCAAAATATCTCCCTAGCTGCTAATGGAGAAAATCTGATGTAATGAAAAAAATGTTTTAAAGTTTCCATAGTCAAAAAAGTTGATTTAAATAAGTTTTGCTGGATGGTAAGACCTGTTGCTGAAAACGCCACATGCTTTGGTTGCAAGACAGAGAGAAGTCAACTCAAATTGAACCGTAAGCTCCCCGCGGCTAGCTAGCCGTCATAGCTTTCACATCGATGGAAAATGAAATGCACGCTGCAGGGGGAAACAGACATCTACAGTTTTACTCACCTTGGATCCTGCCAGCTACGCTCCTGACCTGCCAGGCAAGCTGTGACCACTGGCTTAAAAGTGGCACAATTGTCACGGAGGCAACCACTGCTTCCTGGCTTTATGGGAGGCCTGTTCCACAGTAGGGAATTCCTGCCTGGTTTCACAAACCTGATCAAAACTCTGCAGAGTTCTAGAGAGCCATCGGCCCTAGTGTGGAAGCTACTACTATTATCTGAATACACAAACACACTGAGCCCATCAAACTGCCTTCTAGATATTTATGCTAATGCCCCTAGAGCCGTGGCACTGCCATCCTTACTTGGAGACGTTTCCCGCTGCAATGGTCAGGTGCCCTGCAGTGACTCACAGCCGGTCAAAGTGCTGAGAAGGGGTGACTGTTGAATGCTCAGCTCCGTGAGCATTGTCTGAATGGGACATCTACACCTCCCCTCACATGAAGGCCAAGGGAACCCTGCCAAAGAAGGGCAAAGAGAACGTGAGAGTCAGGAGAGAAGTGCAGAAGGCACTGGTACGACCTGGCACTTGCGCTCTTGAACTCATCATGGCAGCTGGGATGGCTGCACATGTCTGGGCCCTTCAACAGTCGGCCATGGACGAAGGAAGGGCTCACGAGGCCTGCCTCTCCCCGAGGCCTTATAGGCAAATCAATGGCTGCCGGGGGAAGAAGAGACATCTCGAGTGGCATAGTCACTGCCACGCAGGTCCCACAGAGGACCCACCACCCATGCTCCTGAAGCAACCGTAATTACATCTGTGGCCCTAATTTTGTCTTTTGTCTCACACACACACACACACACACACACACACACACACACACACACACGCACACGCACACACATTCAACTACACCTGAAAACATACATGTGCCCATGTACACAAAAACACCCATGCATACATGTGTGCACACCACATACATATTTATGGAGTAGGGAAGAGAAACATGTTATAAGGCATCTTAAGTCCTAGAAGTCCTGTAACAAGGCATGGGATGCTGCTATAAAAGAAAACCCTAAGAACTCTTCAAAGCCAAAAGTTCCACCAAATGCTCTGAGCTTCAGAAAAGTTCAGTTTACTGAGTAGGGGTTGGAGTATGCACCCCAAAATATACTGATGTTTTAACTGTTTCTGCTGTGAGTGAACATGACCTGATTTGGACACTGGGTCTTCACTGATGTGATCAAGGTTTGGTGTCTTAGCATCCGCCGTTGATCTGTGTCTAGGGTTACTTACAAAGAGAGGCCATGTGAAGAAAACAGAGACACCCCAGAGCAATAGGACCACAGAGGCAGAACACGGCTTGAAGAGGCAGCAAGGATGGCCAAGGAGCAGAGCTAGCCCCAGAAACTAGGAGAGAGAAGAAAGCCTCCTCCGCAGAGAGTCCAGGAAGTTGACACGTTGGCTTTGAACTTCCAGAGTCCAGGGCTGAGCAGAAGAGTGAGTGTCATTGTCCAAGGCCACCTTTTAGTCAGCATTCTGGTAGGTCAGCAGGTGTGAATTCAAATGGGGGTACATGAAACATCAGTGTGTAGATGCAAAACAGACACCATGCAACACACACACAAACACATACTCACATACTCACACACACATACACACACACTCACACACACATATATACACACACTCACACACATACGCACCTGCTCACACACATATACACACAGCACACTGAACAACATGAGCAACAGGTGTGGGTGGAAGGAAGGGAATAGAAAAAAGGTGTCAAAAGAAAGGTTCGGGGTTTCTCTAGCCTCTGGGGTGACCAGAGGAAGTGGGGGTGTAAGGACGAGTGCAAACACTTTTCTGTTGCTGTGATAAGTCACTGTGACCACAAGCAGTGACTTAGAGAAGGAAGGGTTTGCTGGGGCTTCCAGTTCCAGAGGGTCGCAGTCCGTCATGGCCGGGAAGCATGGCGGCAGGCGGCTGACAAAGGCGGCTGGAAAGTTGAGCAGAAAATTGAGAGCTCCCTTCTCAACTAGAGCCCTGCAAGTCAGGCTTGACTCTCAAGGCCCACCCACAGCGACATAGTTCCTCCAGCAAGGCCACACCACCTGAACCTTCCAAACAGCACCGCCAAGTGGGGACCAAGTGCCTGAGGCTATGGGGCACACTTCGCATTCAAACCACCACAAACACCACTCTAGAGTGCTAGCTGGAGACACACACAGAGCTCAGCTGACTAGAGGAGACCCACATGTCTCAAAGATTTCTCCCTGTGAAGTTCAAAACTATCTGCCTTGAAGGTGCCAGCACAGCCCATGGATCTCTGGCTTAAATGAGCTTTACAAAATGCATATCTTTTCCATTTTCATGACCATTCGGTTCTGGAGCTGGCTTGCCCATCAGGAAAACAACAGCTAAACAATTAACAATTTGAAGTCAAGCCATTTACGTCCTTCTACTGTTTCCAGAGAAAAACTGAGGATAGGAAAGATCTCTCTAAAACTTTGGAGTAGAAAATCTCCACTGAGTAGAAGGATGGTGAAGGGTTTCTGTGGGGGAAGGGAGGGGAATAGGGAACACCTTAACTTTTAGTGTGCAATACGCTTGTTAAATAGACCCACTAATGGTGTTATTGCGGCTAAAAACAGTGACTTGAAAATGCTGTGTACATTATTACGGTCATTATCCCCCAACTGTAAGAACGCTATGATAAAACTAACTCAAAACACCTGGGGAAAGGTAATTGCTACTAATGGATCTGAAGTGTGCAAAACTGGACGTCATTACCCCCTCCCATGGAGGGCTGGGGGCGCTGCTGGAGATGATGGGCGGGAGGCTCCTCATCTCCATCGGGCTGCGGTTTGAGCAGAGGCCTGGGTGGCTTTCTCACTGCAGCAGGGATACTTCGGGGTCTTAGTACCTCTCCCTCGCTCTGCCTTCCTCCCAAGTCCCCACTGCCGCGGAGGAGGTACCTGGAGCCAGAAAGGAGTGCTGCCTCCAGCTGGGTTTCTCAGATCAGTTGCCTCCAAAGGAGTTAAGGCTGGCTGACCCTGAAATTCACGGAAATGACCCAGAATCAGAGGCTTATATGAACGGCAAGTGGGTCACCTCAAGCAGTGCCGTGAGCAGACACCTAAGCCCCCCGAGAAGGGGGACCGGGCCTGTGCCCTGAGCTGCCGCTGCCCCCAGTACCCCTCCCAGTCTGTCCTGGGTCACACTCTGCCGGGCTACCCTGCTGCTGCTATGCCGAACCCCATCTCCTGACGCAACCCAAAGATTCCGCCCCTGATTCCAGCCAATAAGATTTTTAAGTCCTTCGACCTTGATTGTTTTCCAGAATTTCAAAATGAAATTCAATGCCCCCACAGAGCATGAACACCTTAGCATCAGAGTGTCTCTCCCCTGCCCAAGTCTCCATTATATGGTCCAACATACATGTACCGCTCATCACATATGTCCTACATCACACACATATTGCACATCACACACATGCTGCACATCACATACACACACACAGATACACACACTGCGCACCATAGACACACCTGCACATCACACGTGTCCTTGTGGATCACACACATTCTTCACATCACACGTGCATTGCACATCATGAAAGCTAATGCTGATTGGGAATTTCATTTCCTTTTTGCACTGCGAGTCTGACACTTAGGCAACTTTCCCTGCCCCCTCTGGCCACAAAATAGGAGAAGAAGGAAAACACAAACAAACAAACAACAAACACAGGGCCCAAAGCCCAGAAATAACCTAAGTCAGTTCTGCTGAAAAGAGCGCAGCCTAAATTCTAAACTGAGAATCTAACAGAGAAAATTCTAAGGCAGCGGTGCTGGCACACTCCTGGATGCCAGCACCAGCGCCTGGGTGAGGAGGGGCAGCAGTTCCAGGCCAGCCCGACCTACAGAGGTCCTGTCTCGAGAAGAAATAGTCCTCCACACATGTAAGATGTGAGACTGAGGCCCACGGCATCCGTGGAGGTCTGGCACTCAAGGTTCTGAATGCGGAACGAGCAGGAGATGGAGACGTGGGTACCTGAGTGGTCAGGGACTCCATAGATGAGGCCTCACCCTGGCGAAGGGCTGCAGGGGAAGAAGGGAGCACTGGCCCACGCCTGGCAGAGGAAACCC